TCCTACATGAGTCATATTTTTTATATAGTTAAATAATCCCACAGCTAAGCCTTTAGCTAACCAAACTCTTGTAAAAAGCTGTCCTCTCTTTATATGGCTAGTTAGACCTTGTCCGTTCTTTCCTATTTTTCTCCTACACTTTTCAGCATGTTCCGTGGCATGTAGCAGATGCTCAATAAATATTCACTGGATAGCTGAATGAATGCAGAGATACCCCAGGAGGGTAGGGTGACTCCTGGGACCCTCTCCCCAAACTTCAGGGTCCTTGTCTTAGTTTCGATTCCCGGAAGCAGACCTGACCTGAGGATTTCGGGGCAGACGGTGTATTTGAGGGTGCAAGGAATAGAGGGAAGAGGTGAATGAGTGAGACAGGAAGGGCAGGAACCTGATAAAGTGTGCACCACCTACCGCACGGCTGACTAGAGAGTTCTTCTGGGAAACGCCCACCTCTGAAGCTTTTCAGCTGAGAAATGGGACCTGGGGTATTAATATCCCCAACCCTGTAAGCCATTGTTAGCTGTTGCCCCAAGTGGGTATTAAACCCTAGGCATTTTGGCCCTGGCCAGTTTGGCTCAGTGGTTAGAGCATCGGCCTGCAGACCAGAGAGTCCTGGGTTCGGTTCCCGCTAAGGGCACGTACGTCGGTTGCAGTTTGTCCCCGGCCCCGGGTGGGGTCGTGTGGGCAACCAGTCGATGTGTTTCTCTCACATCGATGTTTCTCTCTCTCTCTTCCTCCCTTTCTCCCTCCCACTCTATCTGAATATAAATGCAAAAATGTCCTTGGGTGAGGATTTAAAAAATTAAATAAATAAATAAATCCTAGTCATTTGGGGACCGCCACGCTTGTGGGCTGAGTGGGTTCTGACAACTCAAGGACAGCCCTCCCCAGATGCAGGGGTGGCTTTTGGAAGCCAGGGGGCCGTACCTAGGAGTGGTTGGGGATTCTAGGGACATGAATGGAACACTGATGAAGTCTGCTTCAGCCTTACAGGTATATATATATATATATTTTACCTCAAGCTACTGCCTTCCTGAACCCTGGGCCTTTTTCTGGCTGTGCCCACAGACTCTTTGCTGTGGATCGTCCCTATCCCGCTGAACTTCGAGGGTGTCCGCTCAGCGTACAGTGCCTCACCATCACGTTCATGTCGCCTGGCGATGCCCCTTGGTCTCATTGGATTGGCCAGGGGTAGACATCTCTCCTCACAGGGCCCGTTGGATTCTCTTGTTAGGAAGCTAGAATGGGGATATGGCCGGGCCAGCCTGAACTGGTCCCTTCAACAAGGGAGATGAGAACCTGTGCTGGTGGGATGGCATGTCCTCAGGGAATAGAAGAGGGTCCCCTGTACTGAGAGGGGAGAATGCATGGTGGTGCCAGGAAGCCCGGCACCCTTCCAGGACTAATTCTACTTCTTGGTTGTTTTTATTTTATATGTTTATTGTAATTCTAGTTCTTTGAGGGTCTTGACTGTCCTTGGATTCCACAGTAACTCAGTATCCTACCAAGAAGCCCCTTCCCTGCTTGCACTGACCTGAGCATGTTTTTGTTACAGCTCCAGTCCCTCAATATCTGGCCTTAGATCCCCCCTCCAGCAGGTCCTGCACTGCCCTCAGAGCTGCCTCCAGCAGCAGAGGTGGAACTCGCCCTACATCCTTCCTCTTCTGTAAGTCAAGCAAATCCATCCCACGAAGGTCCCGGAGGACCGCATGATTGGCATGTCAGTGCAGAGGTATCTCCATCTTTCTTTTCCTTTTGGTTCCTATTTCTAAGCCATGCCCATCACAAAATGATGCCCTCATATCTTCATGGCTCAAATTCTTAGTGGTCTTTGATACGGAATCGAGGCTTCACGACATTCTGTAGCTGTTGAATGGGTGTGTCCGGGACAAACGAAGCTAGAACTCCCCGGCCATAGCTCTTGATGTCCAGCTCAAGAGACTCCAGTGAAAACAAGTGGTGAAGAAGATGTTGGTGTGAGTTCAAGACCCATCAGCCCTATCACACTGAGATAGGAAAGAAAGACCTTGATCTTTGCTGCAAATGATTAAACCTCAGACCATCTCGCGCAACCCCACCACTCAGCACTCACAACATGCATGGTCTTGCCATCAGCCCACCTTGGTTCCAGGAGAGCCATTGGGCAGAGGGCTGGACCCTCTCCAGGATGTCATGACCAGGCCCACATGTTCCTTTGTTCAGGTTGAGCTTCATTACGGTTCTTCAGAAGGGCCTTTTCCTTTGTCTCAAACTCTCCATTACTTAACTCCTGCCTGGGTAGCAAACAGGATCCTTTTCTGGGATTTCCAAAAATGTCAGCGGTCACTCCTTTCCCATGAAGATTTTTGGGTGCATCTGGGTCCTTTCCCATTCATGACCTCCCAGAAACTGGTGTTGCCCATGACACACCATCTTATTCAAAATCAGATGTTAAGTTTTAGACATTTTTTGGAAATCTAAGATTACACAATGATGGAAAAGTTGGTTAAAGTTAAACGTTCCTGTCTCTTTACCCTGTTGGCTCTATCAACAGTAATATTAACTAATACTTGCTATGTGTGGGTATTATTCTAATTTTTCTAATTTTCTCTATATAAACCATTTACTATTTTAATAACAGCCCTAGAGGAGAAAGAGGCCATTGTCATCGGCTCCATCTTACAGATGGGGAGCTGAACACAAGGCCAACAGCTGGGAAGTAGAGGAGCTGGGATTGGAAGCCAGCCCAAATGGTTCCAGACAATGGCCCAATCAGCAAGCTACTGACTCAGTCTGCCCCTAGGGTGATCCAGCCTGGGAGGCAACTGTAGCTCAGAGAGGTCAGGTCACTTGATCCGCAGGTACCTGGTGGAGTCAGGATTCAAACTCATCTGTCCAGATGCAAACATGGGGCCCCTTCCACTGGACTAACTTAGCTGTCTATGGGCTTGGGCTGGGAAGAGGGTCTGAGGAGCTCTCCTGGATCAGCAAGGAGCCTGCAGAGTTGCCATAAAAAGCATCATTAAGGAGGTGGAGGCCCGAGTTAAAGCTGTGAACAGTCTTAACCACCCCCACCCCACCCACACGCTGGGCCCGTGAGAAATCAGATCCCGTGTAGCTTTCCTTCCCCTCTGCTGGGTTGGAGACCCCGTTTATCCCACTCCCCTGTACCCAAGGTTTAATGCTACACAAAGTGACAAAGTGGTGGCAGCTCAGTGGGCAAGAGCATGAGTTCAAATCACAATTCCTCCATTCGGGAGCTGCTTACACTCCCTGTGCCCAGTTTCCTGATGATTACAGCCCCAGCCTCAGGGGATTGTCGTGGGTGGACAGGATGCTGCCTATGGGCTGGGTACCTGAGAGACATCTATTAATAATACAAGGTCTGCCCTTTGTCAAAGTGAGCACTGTTGTTCTGGAGGAAGTTAGTTCACCCCTGAATTCCTCAATGCTTGGAACAGAGCCCAGTTACATAGGTGCTTAGTAAGTATTGACGAATGAATGTTGGGCTGAGAATGATGTTTCAAAAACAGAGAGAAAGAAAAGTGAAAGAAATAAGAAAAGGTAACAGAGGATGTCTACATTATTATTTTTTTTCCAAATATATTTTTATTGATTTTAGAGAGGAAAGGAGAGGGAGAAATAGAAACATTGATCTGCTGCCTCCTGCACGCCCCCTACTGGGGATTGAGCCTACAACTCGGCATGTGCCCTGATGGGGAATTGAACCAGTGACCTCCGGTGCATTGGACCATACTCAATCCACTGAGTCACACCAGCTGGGCTCTACATTATTCTTTATCTACATTTGAGCTGCACCAAAGTCTTGGGCAAGTGTTTCTGGCTTTCTGAATCCATGTCACACATTCCCTACCAGTTACCAGGGGCATCTTCTTCCCTCATCCCTGCCCCACGAATTCTCCATCTTTATTCCCCCATATGCTCTGACCTGCCTGTGTGCCCCAGGCCCTGAGATCCCAGAGGGGGCTTGTCTGAACCAGCTCACCACTGCAGAGCACAGGCTGGTGCAGTGATTCAGTGGGAGGGGGTGAAGGAATGAGTGATGAATGAGCTGATTTAATGTCTTCATGCAGCAGGACGGGCTCCTTCTGCGTGTGCTGGCACCCAGTAGGACCACACTTTGTGACTGAGTGGAGAGCACGGACAGGGAGCCCTTCAGCTCCTCCAGCCTTCTTTCTTCACCTACCAACAAGGGCCTTGAGCTTACATGTTTCAAAGGCTATTTCTTCTGGCTCTAAACTGTTTTGTTAAAGATACTAAGTGTCTGCGGGCAAAACAGAGCAAGGTTTGACTTGTGTTGCTGCCCACTAGCAATGGGACTCTTCTCCAGGCCTCTACTGCCAAGTCTGTGAAATGGGATAATTTCCATCACTGGATTTCTGTGAGCATGGGTTTGGATAACGAAGGTAAAGGCGTTTAGCGTTAGCACGGTTTTACTGCCCTCATTCAGTATCATCTAGACAGAGACAGACATTGCCACTGAGGCAGGGTGACATGCGTGAACTTTTCTACCCATGTACAGAGGACGAGAATAAATTTAGCAAGTGTGCATTATGCGTCACAGTTTACAGAGCTCACGCCTTTCCCGATTTTATGTCGTACAATCCTCGGGGGGCACCTCTCTATTCCCATCTCCAGCTGAGCCGCAAAGGATTTGATAAATTTGCAAACCTCTGGTGGAAAGTGCTTGGCACCGCGCCGGGCGCTGGTAAACACTCAGTGGAACCGATACTTTTATGGTCACGATGAGGAAACTGAGCGCGTCTTCTTCTCAAACCGAGTGTTTAGGACGCGGGTGGTCCTGGACGCTCGTGGGGCTCGCGGGGCGGGGCGGGCGAGCCCGGAGGGGTGGGGCCTGAGGGGCGGGGCAGGACCAGGGCCCCGACTGGGAGGCCCTATCAGCGCCTCCGGGCCCGGGGGCGTGGCCTCCGGGCTAAGGGGCAGCATACAAGAGGCGGCGCGCCGAACCCCCGGATCCACTGCTTGCTTCTGCAGCCCGGATCTCCAGTGTCCTGCGACTGGCCTGGCCTGTCCTGCGGAGCCCGCGCTGCCGCTGCCACCTCCGCCGCATCCGCTGCTCAGCGGGAGACGCCGGCGAGCTGGTGATTGGAGCCCTGCGGCGGTAAGTGTGATGTCGATTTCTCGACTCTCTCCAAGCTTTGATCTGTTCCGAAATCTCCGAACCGAAGTAACCAGGGCAGATGCCGGCTCTTCGGGCTCACTGTGTTCAAGCACCAAGCGGAGCGCCTACCTGCATCTCTGAACCGGGCTCAGCGGCTTGCTGTTCCACCGCTGGAGAAGCGGAGGCTCATCCAGGGCAAGTCAGTTGCCCAAGACCACAGCCAGGAAGGGAGGAAGCCTGGATTCAAAGTCAGTCTGACTGCAGATCCGTGCTCCCGGGGGCTGTGTACTCTTGCCTAGGAAGAGTGCAATTTACCAGCATCTGTTGTATTCCTGTGTATACACTGGGCGTCAATCAGTGGAAAGCTGATAGTGTGGATGTGGCAGGAGTCTGAATGTGTCTGCCCACGTGTGGATGGCCGGGAGTGGGGGGATACTAATGGTGTGTGCATTTTGCTCCAAGGTTTACAGGACCACACCCCTTTATGTTGCTACATTTGCAACAAGTCGCCCAGTGGTCTTCCTCTTCTCATATTTCAGATGAAAATACTGGGGGTTAGAGAGGGGAAGAGAGTTGTCCAGGCAGAGCCAGGGCTGAAACCCAGCTCTGTCTGCCTCCAAAGCTCTAGATGGCCATGGATGTTTCCAGGTCTAGGGCAGGTTTGGAAACATATTGCGCGGTGTCTTCAGCCACAGTGGGCATCTGCATAAACTCCTTGTGCCGAGAGAATTCAGCTGGGAGCTTGGGGCTTGGTTCTGCAGTCCTGGGGAGATGGGCTGGTTCTGCCCTAGATGGACAGAACCAGAGCCAGCCCTTCATGTGGGGCAGACCCAGAGCCTCCATTGCTAAGGGCTAGGTTGGGGGACAGGCCAGAATGGCTTAACGGATGCCTGCTCATTAAAGTGTCACTTGAATTGGACATCTTTTAGCCAAAAGGTAAGTTGCTGCTCTGGTTGAGAGAAGCAACTGGAGGGCCTATGCAAATATCCAGCTTGCCTTGCAAGCTAGAATTTGTGAATTTTTACCTTGAGCATTTAGGCTTCTTATTCTGGCAGAGTAGGGTGAGCTACCTTTCCCAGCTGGGTCGGGGCATCTAGAGTTTAGAGTCTGACAGGTGAGAGAGTAGGGTCTTGCAGAGAAAGAAGAGGGGCAGGTCCCCTTCCCCGAATAGTCTGAGAGGGGACCTTAGGGGCTCTTTGTGTTTTGTGCACCTGCTTTTCTGCTTCTGCCTCTGATCTGGCTATTTCCACATGGGGAAGGAGCAGAAGGTGTGGGAGCTATACTGCTGGTGTAGCAGATCTGAGGTCCTGTGCCATGCACTTTACCTGCATTATCATCCCTGCAGCACACCTGGGCAGCAAGCCTCTCGATCCCCATTTCACAGATGAGAAAACTGAGGCTCCGAAAGGTGAAGTGCATGCCAAGGTCCCCTCGCTGGTGTGCCATGATGTCACCCCTAGGTGTGTCTGGCTGCAGACCTTACACTTAACCACTGGATCCTGCCTCCTTTAAGAAAATTCTCTGCCCAACCACTAACTCTGGGCCTGACCTTCACACAAGGTGTTGGTTTGTCTGAGGTGTTGTTTTGTCTGGGAGGGGCTCCAGGTAAAACCGCTGTCAGCAGAGTTGACCCCAAGCCCCAAGTCCCCGACAGTGCACCCTGGGAGGAGAATGAAGAGGATCAGTTTGATTTTTACAGAGTCCTTTAAGATGGAGGACTTTGGATAGTAATAATAACATTTATAATCATACCAGCCTGACATTTACCCAGCACTTACTATGGGTTTTACATGGATGATCTCACTGACTTTTTTATGGGGTGGGCACTGGCCCATCTCCCTTTTTACAAGGAGGAAATTTGAGGCTTGGAGCGATTAAGGCATGTACCCAGCATGACACAGCCAGGGCAGGGGAGAGCTGCCATCCTGGCTGGGTCCTGCCCCAGATTCTGGAAGAAGGTGTTCCTCCAATGGTGAGCTACTTGACTGCCACAGCAGAGCTTGCTGCTGCTCAAGGCTTCTCCAACCACATGGGATCGAGGTCCCTGGCCTGGGGTCGGGGTGGGTCTGGAAAGGGGATGCATTGGCATGGGGGCTTGAGCTCCACTCTGCCAACAGGTACTGGTATCGTCGCAGAGAGCCCTGCCACAGGACCCAGATCAGTACTGGTTCCCCAAGTCCTGCTTCCAGACTGCAGAGAAGAGCTGGCGGGGGGCGGGAATGGAGCCCCTGCAGAAGAGCATGAGGCGTCTGAGAGCTCCCCCACTTCATCCCTCCCTCAAAGACCCCATTGGCTCTCTGGCCTTAAGTCAGCTGCCTTGAGTCAGTTGCCTTTGAAAACTGACTTTTAGAGGCAGGACCCCGAATGTTGACCCCTTTGGCCTGTGGGAGCTGGAACATTTCTCGGTCACCAGTGTAATTTACTCTGTATGGGAGGTGCCTCTGTGTCTGCTTGCTCCTGACCTAGGAGGCTTTTTTTTTTTTTTTTTTCTTTTTTCTTTTGCAAACTCACTAGTTTTTGATCAGTCCCAGATGTGCAAACCCAGCATCACTCAAAGGGGCTGATGGCTTGTCAAGAAAGGAAACTACAACACAGGCATCTTCATTTCGTCTTCAGTTCATTGAATAGCTGCTCAGACCTTCATGGGATGGGGATCCGGAGCCCCCCAGAAAGTCCTAAATGAAACATGTTTTGTTCTGAAACAGGGAAGGTCAGGCAGATCTGGGTGTTGGTTGGTGGGTAGGGTCGGCCATGTTCTTTTTTCTTGTTTGTTTGTTGTTCTTTTTTCTTCTTCCAAAAAAAAGGTTTTATTGGGATAAAATATGCATAAACATAAAATTTACCATTAAACCATCCTTAAGTGGACAGTACAGTGGCATTCAGTGCTTTTGCAATGTTGTGCAACCAGCACCACTAATTCTAGAACATTTCCATCATCCCAGAAGGAGACCCCAGAGCCATCATTAGCAGTCACTGTCCTTTCTCTCCTCAGCTTCTGGCAACTACTCATCTACCTTCTGTCTCTATGGATTTACTGTTCTTGACATTTCATATATATGGAACCATACACGCGTGGCCTTCTGTGATTGGCTCCTTTTTCTTCATTGTGACGTGGCCAAGGCTCAGCCATGCTGTAGTGTGTCAGGGCTTCAGTCCTGTTTATGGCTGAGTAATATTCCACTGTGCGGATAGACCATGTTTTGTTTATCCATTCTTCCACTGATGAAAGTTGGGGATATTTCCACAGTTTGGTATTGTGAATAATGCTGCTCTTACATTCGTGTGCATGTTTTTGTTTAAAGACCTATTTTCCATTGTTTCGGGTCTACACCCAGGAGTGGAATTACTGGGTCACATTAACCTGTTGAGGAACCATGTTCTCTTTTCTTGACTTCCTTCTTAAAGAAGCATCAACTCAGGTCATCTCATTTCAGAACTGGTCAAAGTCCTCTGCCACGGGTGCAGGGAAATCTGGCATCTGGATGTTTTGGGGAAGATGTTGGCATTCCACCCAGGGTCACAGCAGCAGCTGGCTTTGTACCCCAGGCTCCGCAACTGTGGGCACTCACAGACAGACACCCCCCTTTCAAGGCTGTGAGGACAGACAGTCTCTCATGGTTCAGCCTAAAGGACATTTATCTTCTCCGATGTCTCAAGTGCTGTGTCAGCTTAGACAGAAACCACAGATTCAGGGAGAAAAGGAGAGAATTATGCAACTTCTGGATCATCATTTAAAAAATATTATAAATTATGAAATCCCACATTTTCCATCTGAATTTCTGGAATGTGTCCCATTGTGAGTGCAGAATGACAATGTCCCAGCAGGAAAAAGAATCGAGCTTCCATGTCTTTAATATTTTTTTTAAACAAATGATTTGAGAGAGAGAGAGAGAGAGAGAAACATCAATGTGAGAGAGAAACACTTATCACTTGCTTCCCACGTGTCCTGACCGGGAACCAAACCTGCAGCCTGCACGTGTGCCCTGACTGGGAATGGAGCCCACGACCGTTCAGTGCACAGGATGACGCTCAGCCAGCTGGGCCACACCAGCCAGGGCTCGAGCTTCCTTTTCACTTGCAGTCAGGTGGCCCTCGAGTTGACCCTGCCCCCGTGTTCTTTTGGATTAAACAAAACCCACCGGGACCTCTCCAGGAGTGGCTGGGGCATCCAGCTGGCATCTGCTGAGACGGACTTGACAGGAGCCTGAGAAATCCTTCCAGAGCACAGAGGCAGCGCCCTGGCAGGGAGAGGTGATAGTGGGCGGGGTGTGAGCCAGGGTGCCCCAAGTGGAGGCACCGAGTGTGTGTATGCAAAGGCCCGGAGGTAGGAAGGGGCCTGGCACCCTGGGAGAAAGGCCAGAAGTTCTGTGTGGCTGGAGTGTAGGGTCAGATTCCGGCACGGCAAGGGTCTGCCCTGCAGGTGGGGTGAGCTCCACTGAGTTTGGATTCCCTGCCCCGGGCTGCGGGGCATAGAGTGTCACAGGGTGGGGTTTTCACTTGAGAACAGATCACTGGAATGAGTAGTGTACCCCAAGTTGTGGGGAACCCATCCCCACCGGTCCCCTGGGTGACAGCATTGGCACAGACCCAGCAGCAAAGCTCTCCAACCAAGGAGCTGTTCCTTGCTCCTGTTTAGAGCAGGGACAATGTTTCAGGTGGTGCCCTCCGCCCCTCATGTCCCCCCCACCCTCCGCCATCCCCCTTTGCAACAAAGAGAACATTCTCTCCTGCAAAGTCTCTGGCCAGTATCGGGCCCAGCTGGGAGGTCCTCTGTTCTGTTTTCATTGTGCTGAATTTTATTCCTGCTTCCGTTCAAGGAAAACGTGATCCAGTTCTCTGTACATGGTGGTGATGGAAAATTACCTTTCATAAGTACATTTTTTTTGAACCCTCAAAGCGGGCCCACTTGAATAAAAGTACAAATTATGTGCTAGTTCCAGGAGGCGGTGAAGCTGGGCAGGATCGGGAAGGGGGTGTGCCAAGGACTGAAGTTGGGGAAA